AGACCCATTTATGACATGCAGCTTGAGCAGCCTCAGTGCTCATTTGGAACTGGTAAATAGAACTGGAAATCTACAGGACACCTGGCAAAGAAACAGTGGTCATTTCTTCTGCTGCAGCAGGCACTTAGATGTCTTGTGTTGCCAGGGCTGATGAAAAAAATATCATTCAGTCTTCACTGAGGATAAAATATAATACAAATTTTCTTGAAAAATGATCCTTAGCTGAATCAGAACCAGGAAGAGACAATCAAGGTAACTAAGCAGATAGACTTCTCAATTTTATTTTTGAAAGTAATCGAAACAAAACAGCATTAAAGGAGCCATTCTATAAATATAACCATGTTGAAAAAAACAAACTTCTTTAGGATGTTTCTGGGTGTCTTCTTTCCTTGCTATTTGTTTTGTACTTTTGTTTGTTGTTTACTTTTGGCAATTATATCTATATATAATAGATATATGCTTTAATGTATATATATACAGGGAAAAACACTCCTGCTGTGGACTCTTCATATGTTCTTGCATAATCTCAGTGAGAACAGGGGAAGTAACTTTTTATAATTTTACCCAGTTTTATGTTTTTAGTTTGATTAAGATTGGAAAAAAACAAAACAAAACAAAACATTAAAAAAACCCCAAAATATTTCTGCTGTGCCAGAGAAAATGGTTACAAGGAATCAGTACATTCAAGGGCAAAATCAAGGCAAGGTGTGGCAAGCAGAACGTGTGAGAAATGTCACACAAACCCTTCTTCTGAGTATGCTCACCCACACACAGGTGGCAGAGGTCTGGGGATGCAGAATGTCTTTCTGGGACCCCACTGATCCCCTCCTGCTCTGCCACTGAATTAATGATAAGAATTTAACAGTCTTTTGAGTGGAATTAATTGCTATACTCTGAGGATGCAAGTGGAAGAGATGGAAAGAGGAGAATAAGGAATTAATTCTTACACTGAAGTGTAGACAGTTCTGGGCAGGGTTTTTATGATCCACTTGGGTTTGTTCCTGGAGTTGGGTGTACCTAAAAATGGTGGTGGGATAGAGCTGAACTCAGACTAGTTTCCTATGCATATAATAAACACATTACATAATGGAATTATTGGAATGGAATTTTGTTTTGTTTAATGTAGACATTCTACAATTAAATTTAACGTAAAACTTTTGAAAAATATGGTTATGTTACTGTCTTGTTACATTCCAGTATAAATAAAATGGAATTCAAGTAATGTTCTTACCCTATATTCATTTCATTTATCCTAATTTTCCATATTTGTGTTTGGATCAAAATTAATCTTAGTTCAAAATGTCCTTTTAATGTAGAATTTGCCACTTATGGATAAGTGTGTGTTTCACACACCTAATCAAAGTTGTGTTTTAGCATGTTTGAGAACGGTGCCTTGAGAATGCCAAGTGGTTTGTTTCCATAAAACTTTAAGTTAATTCTGATTTCCAGGCATCATTATCACTTAACGGTGACTGACACATATATTTCTATTTTTATTTAAATGAAACAAGCAGCACTATCCTGCATATGTGGGGTTCTCTAGAGGTTCTCTAAAGATCATCTTTTCACTGCCTATAATGAAAAGTTTGCGCTGATGACTTTTTAAATAGGTATTGTTGCTTCTTCAAAGTGTTAAGACAGTAAGGAACAGTTTGTCTTGGATTACCATAAATAGGATAAGAGCACATTGAAATTGTACCTTCAAAACTACATTCAGAGCAATGTGTTTGGAACTTTTATAAGATCCACAGTCATTTAAACCAGAGAAACAAGAAGGAAAATGAGACATTTGTATAATCTGATTATAACTATGTGTATTTTCTATTTAAAAATTGGGTCTTATTCCAAGAGAACAATGGAAAAATCTGAGGTCTCCTACCCAAAAGGGGAAAGTTCACAATAATTTTTTTTATTTGTCTTGAAGTCCAGTCATCAGAATAAGTATATTACCTTTCATTCTACTTATTGATTGTATTAAAACACTTAGAGATAAAAAAGGTGTGTATATTTTTAAATATTGGTCTAGAATATCAATCACAGACATGACTATATAATAAAAAAAGAAAGTCATAAATCAGCTCTGTCGCATGTCTTGTCAGAATTTAGGACAAAATCTGTTGCAGGAAGCTGGAAGACATTCATCGTTGTTATTTTGGAGCAGTAATATTTTGCCAGAAGGGAAAATGCTTTGCCTCAAATCAGTGTCAAATTTTGCAGCTGAATCCAAAACTTTCTTATGACTAAAGTTTCTGTTTTTCTCAGTTAGTCTCCTGTACTTGGAATTTAGTAGGAAATATTAAATGGATACAAATTCCTCATTAAAGTTCAGAAATTAATTCTAGAACCACACCACACTCTGCCATAAAAATACCTAGTAGCTCCTAATTTCCCATGAGCCAAGCAGAAAAGAACTGAGAATAACAGTCTTAAAGATGTACATAAAATTTTGTGTGTATATATCATATCTGTAAAAATATGTGAGATATATATATATATACATAAACACAACATATATGTTGTTGGATGTGTAGGAACACTTGAGACATGCCTAAAGATGGAATTAAATACAGTCCCTTATTAAGAAGGAAATAAAGAAAGGATGATGGTGTAATAGTAGATGGCAAGATACAGAAAACAACTGTGGAGAGATTGGGAGGACATTGAAATAGTTTGAATTTACTTGTTGGGTTGTATGAAATTGGCAAAACCAGTTACGTTTATTTCAGAACCCTGGTCTTAATCCCAGTCTATGGCAGGCAGAAAAGTAGCAAGTGGCAACCATTTTATTATATTTTTTGGGTGTACTCCTATGCTCTGTTAGTCAGCCATTACCGTCTTGACTCATTCCTTAAAGCTTTTTTTCTCCTGTGAATTAGGAGAAATGCTTTGAGCCTATGCAAGCTGAAGCAATAACCTACCTGCATGCACAGAGTTCAACTATGAGGAAAGTGATAGCATACCAAGCTCCTGCTTTGAAATTCTAGCCTGATGATTTCAGTCCTTTGATTCCATTTTTGTTTTACCAGAACGAAACACTCATTCCTTATTCACATTCTTCTTGGCATCCATGATTTCACAGACTTCTGTTGCATGCTTGGGGTTTAAAGGTCAGTCACATCTCATTCAGATGTTTTTGTATATCTTTGAAAATTCTTTCTGCCCTTTTCCACTTCTTTTCAAACCTTAATATCCTTTTAGGATATGACGACCATAAGTATTTTATACTCTCTTCCTTTCCTTATCATTTTTATATGTTTTGATTTTATTTTTCACTCGTTACCCTTTTTACTCTTTCCCCTATAGATAATACTTTCATAGAACTCTTTATTATAAATGCAAATCTTTGACTAAGTAGTAAGGCTAGAAACTGCTGTTTACTGACTACCAGTGGTAACTCCTTTTCACTCTTTCCATGAAAAAAAATCAGGATTGCTTTCTTTAGTGTGCACAATTTCAATGTGTTCAGTTTTGGCTTATCCATTGTACTACCAAGTATTATCATGTTATTCTTCTTCAGCTCTTGACACTTTTCCCAAGATTCTGTTCATTTTATAAAAAAAAAAAAATGTTAATTTGAGGTTGGGACATGTAAAAATATTCAGTGTTTTTACTCTGTCATTGACACATTAGTACCACATAATATGGTACATTCTATACCTGTTCCTAGAACACAGTTTACAAAATACTAATCCTCACCATTGGCTACTCTTGTAGATATAAAAGTGTATGGTAAAATAGCTAAAGGATAGTAAGAAATTCCCTTATTGTAAAGGAAATAGAAAGCAGATATGACCAATCTGGCAGCCATCTAATCTAGCATTTTCTATCTGGTGCTGTTGCAGATAGTATGTTTCGAAGAGTGCTGTAGCAGACATATTTGCAACAACCTATTTGGAGTGTGTATTTCTTTTTCTGTTTATCTGACTTTACAGCTTGAAACAAGAAGCTTCAATCCTTCATCCTTTAGGTAATTTCTATCTCTCTTCAGGGCACAAGGTAATCTTCAGCTGACAAGGGCACAAAGCTGCATTTTAGGGAGGCAGGTTGCTCCATCATTTTCCACACGAATACATTGCATCATTCTCTGATGTATGTGGCTCTGGCCCGAGTTAGAGGCAGAGTGCTGAGCTAATCACAGGTCTGCTCCAGCACAGCAGATCCTGTGAGATTACAGATGCTCCAAAACAAATACAGAATTTCCTGTCAATAGTACATAATTCCATCTGTAAACACATGGTAATGCATGTCAAAAAAGCCAGTTGACTATACTTGTAGGTCATTTTATACCTTATCCCTTTGTAAATATATGTGCTGGTATGAAATTCAGTATATAAAATATTGGATTTTAGAACCTTGATAAAAATTGTGCAAATATTCATGTTTTTCTTTTCCTGGAAGGAAAAGTTATAATTTCTTTAATTTTTCAAAAAGCTTTTTTTAATGACATAAGCAATTTAAATTGTTTTTATAAATATTTTTCTTGTCTTGTGGAATGGAGAAGACAACTCCAGCAGACTGCAATTGCAGATTGCAGTTACATTTTCTTTAGTTTAAAAGTGCTGGCGTGATAAGTGAAAATAATAACTGCTCTTTGTGTACAAAATACCTTCAACAACCAAATAAAAATCAGGACAGTTCGATTTCCTGCACCATCATGAGTAAATCTCTGTTCTGTGTTCAGTAAATCATTTGGCACCTTCTTGACAACTGAAAATGGGAACAATGGTATCTTTATAACTCACAGACGTGGTGCAATGGACTAAAACCACTAGTCACATTAAGTGATCATCTGATTAAACATCTGAGTGGTAATCCTAATCTAGCAGTTTTCTCAGTAAAAATCCTCAACTGTCCCTTAGTTAAGCTACTTCACAAAAAGAGACATTGATTCACCAGAAAAATCAAATATATATTGGTAGTTTGTATGTTTTAAAGGCTATATTTGAATAAGATGCAGAGTGTTTGAAGTGTTCTTGAGTCATCTGTTGACTTTTAAAATTGTTTTATAGTTTTCATTCTCATATAGAGTTAAAACCATTAGGTAATTTCATGTAACTGTCTAGAAGCCATATATCAAGATACTCATTCAAGAAATACTTTAAATTTCATCTGACTAGAGGAAGACTTGTGGACTGGCTAGCACACATTTTTCAACAGAACTCTAGTTTGGAATTTAAGCCGTATGAAAAGAATATGCTATTTTCCATGGAATGTGTGTCAATTACCGGAGTTGAGGGAAGATTTTTTTAATTTTTTTTCCCCTACAAAATGTATGACAGCATATCAAACAGACAGACTGAATATTTTTCAGGAGGAAAAGGTGGCTCACATGGATACCATAGAATTTCATAAAGTTTCCAGTATGGCCAATGAATAAGAGGGAATACAATGCAGAATACAGTCTCAGCCTTAAATGGCAATATGTGACATTCAAAACACCATGAGAAACTTAGGGTTATATTTTTAAGGATTATTAATTTTTATTTTTTAATGGATTCAGTCTATCAGTTCAGTTTTTCTTATTCTATAAATAAATATAACTCATAATTTCCAAACCTGAATACCTTCCATTTGAATTGAAAAAAATATCAGATAACATGTACCTGAAGAAGTTATTTTGTTCCTATTTCATTCAACTATTCAAATGTTTAGTCTTCCGTATATATATTTCAAAATGTACTATTCCTTAACTCCAAAAAGTATCTTCATGCCTCTTGTAGATCAAATTTGATTTTTTTAATAATTATGAAAGTAGAAAATAATTTAGAAGACTTAGAATAATTTAAAGAATGTTGCTTTAGTTCTGCACTGAACATCTGAGACTATTGACCCCTTTTATAATGCAGTGTGGACTCAGAGAAATGATCAACCTATGTCTACATAGATTTTCCTCTAATTGCCACATGACTGATTTAAAAGTTTGAAAATTATCCTAAATATTAGATAATGGAGTAATTTGAATCAATGCCATTTCCAGATTGTGTTGCCATATAGATTTAGGTTTCCCTGTGAAGGGCAGCACTAGTCTCCAGTAAAGGTATGTCTTTCTTGATCATGCTCTCACCTAACACATCAGTGCTCATATAATTCTGTGATTTTTTTCTGTTATACAGCCCTGTACACTCACTATGTTAATTAGTATCTTAATTGTACATTCTTATATAAGATCCTAGCTTTATTTCTGTTTGCTAGTTTTCAGAGTTTTCTATGATTCTGCCGAAGATATAAATCACAGGACTTTGTTTTCTTATACTAAGTGCACAGAAAAATATATTCAACTCAAATATATTCTCACTTTCTTGCACCAAAACGTATCAAACTTACTCAAGTTTTTTTAATCAGCAGTGTGCACAGAACATAAAATATTATATAAACTCCTTTGCAGGTGAAGACATACAACAAAATTTTGCTTTCACCTGCATGTGTTTAAACACAGAACATGTTTGTGTATATGATATTTCTGTAAAAAAAGGGGGTCCCTGATGTGATGTTTTTCACTGCATAAAGCAAAATAAGCAGCACAGCTTGAGTAAGAAACACATGTCAGATAAAGAAGAAAAACACTTGTGGTTAAGGGCATAAAAATTAAATTTTGTCACACTTCAGTCCTTTTGCAGAAGTGCTCACCAGAATGGTGCTGACTCTTAGCAACTATTGCATCAAAGTCTACAGTCAGAAGTGCAGGAATTTTTTTTTATGACAGGATGCTGTTAAAGAAACAAACTGTAATTCATTATTTTCTAAAATTTCTGACCCTCTAGCAAATATAATTACTCAGTTTCATCCACAGTTAGACATCTTCAGCATTAGCAGGCCAAATCCTTATTTGTTTTGAAGGCAGTAATCCTGTGACATAAATTTATTTCTCATCATCATCTAAATTTCTTTAAAAATTCACTTCATGGACCTGTGTAGATAAATACTGAAAAACTTCCTCTTTCTGATTGCCATTAGTATAAGAAATTACTTGCTTTTATACAGCTTTATTGACCTTTTATGCCCTGGATTCATTTGTCTCAGTATCTTCCACAGAACAATATTTAGATTTGTTAATTTTGTATTTGCATGATAGTTCTGGGAAGTTATGCAGAATGCACTCATGCTCCTAATTCTTCTTTCTTTTATCAAGGCATACCAAATTTTCAAGCTGATGCTATTTTACTCTTTTTCTATTTGTTACTGGAACTCTTAATGTTCTTGGAGGCTTTGAAAGGCTTCACATAATAGTTCTCATCTCTTTTGAGGCTTTTTGTATATATTTTAATTTTTTTCAAGGATTTTCTAGGAACTACGAGCTCTTCTTTTATGATTCTTCATGATCAATCATTGTGCTTTCCAGTTTGCCATCTTGGATGAATATATAATGCAATTACATAAGGTTGGGTGTGGATATACAAATATGTGTTTGCATATGCACATGTATATAGGCATATGCATATGAACAAATATGTTTAAACACTCATATGGTTATGAGTGTGTATACATACATAACATATATAGAAAATGCTCATATTCTTAATGGCATGTTTAGGCATATAAGAAGCACACAGGTCCTAGTTGCCAGTGTCTAGCTCTATAAAACTATCACAAAACAAGATTTCCCTCTGGTGCTCTTTCTAAGGACTCCAGCTCTTCATGACACTTTCAGAAGTGTAGTGTACAGCAGTATCTGTGCATCACTGTGACAAAGCACTTTTTGTCTTCTGCAAATTGAAGTTCATTACATTAGTGCTGATGTTCTCTTAGCAGGTGGTCGATGTCAATTATTTTTTGCTTCTGTGTAATGAAAGCTGCTACATATTCATTTCAATTCTGTTACAGACCTCTGAAGTTCTGACAAGCTGTGAGCAGTTCTTCTATCAGGTAAACTTATGAACAGCTTCCTAATAGTTGGAATCATCTTGTCCTGACTAACCTGGATTTCTCACAACTTGTCTCTATGTTTGCCTCATACACAGTTGAGGTTGTCCTTTTCCTTTCTCAATTTTTAGAGCTTGTTGCAGAAGACAGGCATCCAGACCTCCCTTGCTCCCTTACAACAGCTGTTGCCAAGTGTTGGACAAGGTGATTTTATTTTAACAGGTGCATGCACAAGATAATTTACATTGATCTGAGACTTGGACTATGTCCACGTGAGAAACTTACCTTGCCCTTGTCCAAGCCAGCACTAATTTCTAGTCAGATCAAACTGAGTTCTGTTCGTCTGGAAATAACAGCCTCAAGACTATGTGCCAGTACCAGTCACATGGACACAAACCAACCTAATCCTGAATCTTGAATAAAGTGCTCTTGACTATACACTATTCAGATTAAAACAAAACAAAACAAAACAAAACAAAACAAAAAATTCACTAAACCAGAATATGGTATCACATTAAAAATCTCTTCCTAGTCTTCAACCTGCTGCAGTACAGAAATTCTCAGTTTAATTTCCAGGATTTTGCCATAGCTTTGATATATTTTATGCACACACACACACACACACACACACACACTCATACATGCATATATATAACCCCTAACTCTGAATCTATGGGATTTTTAAAAAAATAATTTTCTAGTTATTCAAAAAAATGTCTGAAACAATGGATCTTTTTCAAAGCCTTTGTTTGTCTTATGACTCATTAGTGGGACAGTAACTCACTGGGTACTCATATTACACTGGCAACTAAATATGTTGAGAAACATCCAAGTTATGCTCATATAAATCTCCCTAACAGCCAGCTAGAGCACTCCCTCTACTATGTGCAGACACACTGCCAGTCATAAAGAAAAGATGGTTGAAAAGTTTTACTTTGTGTCCCTCTAGACAATAAGTCATCAGAATTCATTTTTATGACTGAAGGCATAAAGAGTTTAGTGGCTGTGGAGCTGCCTCTGTTTACCAGAATTGGCTTTCTGGACTTGCACAATGCAGTGTGCATCAGGCAGGTAGGAATTTGCTATCAGCAGTATAAAAACATCTGTCATGCTGTCAAGTTTAATGAGAGGGAGGCATGGAAGAAAATATTGCAATCTAGAGATACAATTAGATCTGTGGAAGAAAAGTTTGAGCCGCATAACTTGTTCATTGAAACACAAAATGACCAACTCACACACACTGGCTGGGGCAGGAAGGCACCTCTGGAGATCACCTGGTCCAAGCCTCTACTCAGAGCAGGGTCAACAACAGCAGGGTAGCCAGGAGTGTGTCCAGCTGGGTTTTTAATATCTCTAAGTGTAGAGGCTCCTCAGCTTCTCTAGACAACTTTTCTGGGTGTGACCTTCTTCCTCTCAATGAAAATTTTACTTATGTTTAAGTCTCATTTTGTGCCCTCTGCCTGAGAAAACTTTGTCCTCTTTACTCCCCCATGAGGAAGCATGACCCCTCTGAGTGTTCTCTTTTCCAGACTGACAAATCACATTTATTTCAGCCTCTTCTTTCGTGCCAGAAGCTTCAGTCCTTGAGCCCCTTGAGACTGGATTCACTCCAGTCTGTTTACATCTCTCTCATACTGGGAAGCCCAGTACTGGACCCAGCACTTCAGATTTGTCTTGCCAGAGTAGAGAAAGGATCACTTCCTTTGACCTGCTATCAACTCTTTTGCATAATGCAGCCCAGGGTACCTTTATCCTTCTTGGCTGCAAAGGCAACCTGCAAACTCGTGTCCAGACTTCATGTCCACCAGGACACCCAGGACATTCCCTGCAAACTACTTGCCAGATGGAGCATACCCTGGTACTTGGGTTATTCCTCCCCGTGATCAAGATGTGGCTTTCACCGTTGTTGATCTCCATTTCTCCAGCCTCTCAAGGTCTTCCTGAATAAAAGGACACCAATCTGGTGCATCAGCCACTCTTTCAAGTATTGTATCATCTGTAAAATCACTGAAGGTGTGCTGTATCTTATCATCAGGATCATTAATTATAATGCTGAACGGTATTGGCACTATTACAATTACCCAGGGGAGAATCTGTATGATGTTGCAGAACTGACATTCAATGCTTATGAAAAAAGTTATATTCAGACATTATAATAGAAACAGCTTTCCTACCATCTTGACTATTAGATCAAAATGTTTCCATTACTTTTTTGAGTTGTCTTTTTAATTTCATCTATTTTTAAGAAAACTTTTCTTCTTTATTGATGAAAAAAGTAATGTTTAAAAAACAAAGCCTAACGATTTTTAAACTATCATGACATTGATCTTAAACTATGATAATACTGAAGAGTACTGATCTAATACTATGAAAATTTTGAAGAGTATTGTTCATGCTCTTTGTGTTGGACTTTGTTACAATAAACATAATTTCAGTTTTCAGTACTGAAGTTTTCAGTAGATGGTCATCTAAAAGGCACATCATTGTCAAATTATAAAGAGATAAGTTATTATAGTTTGTGTTAATCTTCCTTTTCAGATTTCAGTGGTCACTCTACTTTTTAGTTCAGAAGACTAAAGACTATTTACTCAGTTCTTCAAGAAGTTCAATGATGTTTCAGTAATTAAACTTCATTATGCTATCTACTAGAGCTCTTGCACTAGACTAAAATTCAGCTGCTGTCTTCTTGAATGACTTTTATTACTCTTGTTCATGTTGTGCCCTTGGAAATTGAACATTAACAAAGATTTCTCCATCAGGGGTGACAAAGTGTTAGACCATGAGGTGATAAAAAGGAAAGAGATGGCAGACATAAAAGGAAGTGTTTTTACATCTGTAAATACTGCTAAAACAACATCAGAAAATATTTTAGTACCAAGCTTCAAGTAAGCCCTGTTCATTTGATGTCCACATGAACCTTTGCCTTTTTTTTTCCCAGAAACTGTTCCTAGGCATGTATTATCCAAACACACAATGTATTGCTGTTTTCTTGTATTCATGATTTATGGCCAGATAGCATCCAACCACTAAAGGTAGAAAAACATATTGGAAACATAGTGGAAATTGCCACTGTAATGCTTCACATATACTTGATAAGTATAGATCTGCAAACATACTTGAATCAGCATATAGATCATAAAATAATAGAATCAGAATTATTAAGATTGGAAAAGGTCTCAAAGGTCGAGTTCTACCATTAACCAGATAATATTTATGTTTCTGTTGGCATCTAAAAGAAGAGACATAGATAATCATGCTTCTTCAGAACAAGAGGATATTCAGGGTAATCAAGTCTAATTCTTTTGATCTCTGGGATATCACACCTTTAGCAATTGACAAAAATCCACCTGAGTTTTATTATCCACCTGCCCTATAAAATCACACTTCTGTCTTCCTGTCTACTTCCATCCATTTATTTTTGTGTCAGTCCGGTCCTTTAGTTTAAAGAGGAGTTTTCACTTTCTGTTCTTCTTCCCTTTCTCTGTACCCCTGTCCTTCCCACTCCCTGCCAGAAGGAAATATCACAAGGCATCTTACCTCCTTGGTTTTGTAGCCTTATTAAGCCACGCATTAGTCTACCAGCTATAGTATCATCCTTCTTCTATTTGATAACAGTTTCTGTCATTCACCAATCTACAAGGCCTCCCCTGGAGTGCTCCAGTGGCTCTGCACATAGGAAATGTGCAGACAGAGAAGTACAGACACTGTAGTATCATTGCTAATATTAATTTTTGTATATTTAAGTTCTTAAAAATATTTGTAGGTTGCTATATTTGTGATCTAAGAAGAAAATGAAAAAAGGAAAAGAGGGAGGAAAAAGCTCAAGCTTGTAAATTTCATTAATATCTTTGTTCAGAGTAACTGCAGTTTTTAAAAAATTGTAATTAAATGAAGTATCAGTTAATAACAGCACAGTCTACTGTAGTAATGTAGCTGTATTTTCATGGATATTGTACCTATATGTCTTGCATTTTCCTGTAAATTAAGTGGCAGTCATTCAGCACTTTTTCTGCAAAGTTTAAAAGAAATTTTCAAAAGGCAAAATATTCAAAATTCCACTTTTCCTCTAATCTCTAGTTTAGTTCCTTTCCCTCCCTTGTGCCTAAAAATTGATCTTTGTCATAGTCTATGCAATGAGAAAAGCCTGCAGGGCCTGCACAATAATTGTGTCTCCAAGTAGTTTGATAAGATTATTTTTGGGTGAAACCTCAGGAATACCATTCAGCAATGTCAACTGAAAGATCTGTTACAGTTATAAAGGATGTACATAAATGGTGCAGTGTACTGGCTTCATATAGGAAAAATAATGAGCTACTTCCATGACACTGTGCACAGCAATGTTTATCAGGCTGTGATTTTTGGATCAATGGATGTTCTTAGGTATTCAGAAGGAGTGCAGCAAAATGTCTTTTTTTCTTATATGGAAGAAATACAGGAACATTGAAAATGTAACCTACATTCTGTACAGCAGTAATTGAATTTTGTTTTGGCATTATTTCATATTATGGATGGATTTTTTTTTTTTTTGTGTTTGTTTGCATGGGTGTGCTTGTGCATGCATATACTATATTTCTGTATTTGTATGTTTCTATATTTTAACAAGGTATCCTGCAAATTTAAAAAGTTTGAAAATCAAAACAGTTGTTCTTAATTATTCCTTCTATCTCTATCACAGTATGCAAGTGCAGTAATGAAGAAAGTCAAGAACTGTGCATGCCACCAGCAATATCAATGCTGAGGAAGTCATGCAGCTTGTCTGAGCCCTCATCATTTCTTTCCAGCAGGTCAAGAACTAGTTCAAAAGTAATGATTCTCTTGAATGGCAGTGTGCTCTTTCTTGAATTTTCCTTTTAGAGAATTAGAACTAAAGGTATTCCTGAATTCCCAAATTTTTGTGCTAGACTTGAATCACACTGACAGCCAATATGACCAATATTTTTTTTTCTTCATTCATAGCTAGGTCACAAACAAACTTTAACCCAAAAATCTATTTTTTTCAACTTTAAGAAATGAATCTATGTTTACATGTATGATTGGATTGTGAGTTTGGAAAAAGAAAAATTGCAAAAGTTTGTGAGACAACATTATGTCTATAAGGTATTAATAGATATTCTGGTTGACTCGTTCCCTTTACCCCCAGTCTTAAGTGACTAAAATACATGCTTTTGAACTTCTTCACTCTACTTGTGTATATATATGAAGGATTATATTCAATTATATAAAGGAAACTTATTCAAGTTCTTATGGGAAAAATCCACATAATAATGATAGCATTCATTTTAATTCTAAGTTTCTTCTTTTATACTTATGTGTAATATTTATTTTCTTCTGTAGATTGCAGTTTGATAATTGTAATTATTCACAATAACTTTGAGGAAATAAAAAGATAAGCCCTTATAATATACTCCCTACATTCTTTCACTCATATATATTGAAGCAGTCAAATCGACATTTAGCTTTTAACACTGAATTTCTGCTTTAAAGTATGTAAAATGGAATATTTGACAATATTGCTATCAAAAATTAATCCTAACACTCATTCTGGCAAGAAACATCTCTTTCTCAAACAGGGAAGAATGGGAAGAGGAAGCATTCCTGCTTCTGAGGTATCCTTTATTGCCTATATTGCCTCATGCAATGCTATCAAGATCAATAAGACTTGTTATAGAGTGACTTAATGAAGTCACTTTGGATAAATTATTCACCAAGAACTTTGCCATTTTAATGGCATTTTAAGACAATTATTTCACAAATCTCAAAGGCATGTCAATTTAAAGTATTGATCCAAAGATTGGAGTTTGAGCTAATTATACCCAAAGATCACAGGCTGATAAAGTTTTCAAAACTAGCCTAAAAAGTTAGGTGGATTAATTCCAGTGATATATAACATTAGGGTCAAACTTAAAACATTGTGGAAATTTCCTTTACAGCAATGGCAGCACTTTTGCCTCCTGCCAAAAGTGGGAAGTGTATAAAGCCTGAAGAGAAAAGACATGCATATTAGGAGGATTCAGCAAATTTCCTGGAACTTCAGTCCCCTCTTATGTGTTCAGAAATTTAATTTATTATCATATTGCCCTAAAGATATAATTTAATTTGAAATAATTCTGCTGTAATTTCAACCTTTTTACATATTTTACTCTTTTTACTTTGGGACTGTATCCTTTTGTGAGTGTCAAATTCCAAGCATTTAGAAAAATCTACATAGAGACTGGTTATAGTTAATGAAAGAAACATATAACTTTGCATTTCAAATACAAAAATAAAACCTAGGTTTGGCATAGTTAAGAGAAGGATAACATAGAATAGAACATTTAGAAAATACTTGAAATAAACCAAAAACTACTTTATAACCTTTTTTTTTTTTTTAACTTAATCTAAGGGAAAATAGCTTCATTCAGCTTTTTTAGTATTTACAAGAGTCCTATATCCTTTGAAAAATTATTTTTAATGGTCAAAGGTAAAATATATTGAATTCTTCTATACAGCTATACTGCAATACCCTTGTTAAAGAAAGCCTTCAAAAATGCTAATTTGAAATTATGCCTGAAAAGGGACAAATCTTAAAGCTACTTATTTTTAATTTTTTTGTCCAAAACAAGAAGTGATCAGCTGTGCCACCACTGTCCACTCTTGCCTGAAGCCCTTTCAGGGAAAAGTGTGAAAAATTAACCAGAGGATAAAATAAGTTCAATAGAAAATTAGCTTTTTGGTTAAAGCAAACAGAAGTGAACAGAAGGAGAATAAACACGATTTCTGTTTCTGTTTTGTTCCATATGCACCAATTACAAACAAATTGAGCTGCTGGTGGTCAGAAACCCCAAGGATCTTGTGATATGTATTCCTGTTTGTCTCTAATCCTATATTAAATATTGTACTGAGGCCTGTTAAACATTGATAAGCTTTTTTTACGCTGTAAGGTCCTCCAAGATCATTGTGCCTAAATACCTAAATACCATAAAGACCTGGATAAGGTTTATGCATTGTTATGGTGGTTTAGATGCATCTTACCTCTCAGTCTTATCTCTCCAAGGGAGAAAGTCAGCCTAATTGTATATTAATATTGGCATCATTAGTGATTAGCTGTTCAAATCTGAAAAAAAAAAAAAGTTATTCAGTGCAGTTTTCTGATGCTCATTCATTATGATCAAAGGAATTTTGTCAGTCTTTCATGGGAAATTTACAAAAAATAGCAGAATTGCATATTAATCATTTTTGTGTATAAATCTTTGTAAAGAACTCTGCTTTTTGCAACTTGTACAATACATTGGTTTGGAAACATCATTTCTCAATCTCCTTTGTTTTTTCTTATAGCAAGAACCTCCTGTTTTGCTTAAATATTTATTTCTCATTGCCATACCTTTCTGACTTTTTAATGTATGGAACAGAGCTTAGTATAGGTCTGGTTTTAGATATATTTTTTTTCCTAAGAGATGTTTTTAAGGGCAGAAAAAACCCAAGAATATGATCAAACTACACACAGACTTGAATTTTCAGTGCCATTTTTTCAGGTTTCGCATTTTCATTGAGATTGGTCTATACAACCTTTATATATACACAAATAGTCCATGCTTCTATGCCTATTGATACAAATCATCAAAGGATAGACACAGAGACTATTTTCTGGGTGCAAATGGGAGAAGGACAGAATGGCACCACACATTTCTATCTCTGTGGCTTAGGACATTTTAGTTTCCATCTCTAAAATCAGCAGCTGTTGTTTATCCTTCAGTATCTTTTTAATAAAGCTATACTACTAAATGCACAAGAAGTGTGTCCAAGATGTCTTTACTCACTCTTCACTTAGATGTGCCGGTGTGTAGATGTTTCCAGCATTTCTAAAAGCAGCTGAGTCCATGGATTTTGTTCTCTGTATCTCAGGATCACAGTTGTTCGAGGCAATTTCCCTAACAAGATAAATATATTTGCTGACATCTCTAAGTGGCTTTCTGTTCTTAACCCTTAATAGCACAATGCCCCCACACCCATAAAACAGCTGCCATGAATACTTAATAATACCTGTTTGCTCTTTTGCCTTATCATATTAGGATCAGATAAATAAATGTTTTTGTTTTTTTTTTCCAAAGGACACTCATCTTGATATATATCTGTTCAATTTTCTAAACAAGGGACTAGAATATAATTTTGGAGCTTTAGATTTTGAGTTTTACAAATACATACGGGAATCTTTTGTGTGTGTGCGTGTGTTTCAGATCACAGCAATAACAGCTTATTTTATAACACCTAAATCCTTTCTACTATGAATTTATTAATGTCAATACCTTAAAGAATTAGAAGTATATAAAAGACCACACTTTAATTTTGAAATTATTTCCTTGAAAACCTACAGGAAGGTATGGTAGGCCAAAAAGCCAAACAGAACTTAAACAACAAGAAACCTGAGTTTTGTTTTTCTTACTTTTAGCTATCTCAGGAGAGTAAGAGGACAAATTAATATTAAAGAAAATTTCAGAAGCAACCCACTGACTTTATTCTGGGTAGAAAATATTAAAAATCCCATTTCTGTTTTCAGTCAAAATAGTAAGTTTTCTCAATCATTATATGTTTTTAAAGTTCTCTACAGAATTCAGCAAACATTCCCATCAGCCTAATGAAGTAGGTCATGGAAGAAAAAATGCCATTTTTTTAGCACAGTGTAGTAAATCCAGAACAAATTAATTGCTTTCAAAATTCTGTGCCAGTAGAAGGATGTGCAGCTCCCAAATTCTGAGGTTATATACAAATTCATTTGATTTAAATATGGGTGATAGTAAAGCCAGGAACTTAGTTGGAGTCTAATGTCTAATGTCTGCTGTTTTTTTATTCTTTTTTTTTTTTTCTCTTTTTTTTTTTTTTTCTGATTATTATTTTTTTCCTGTGGGTATCTTGATATAGCTCACCACAGGTTTTTTTTCATTTCCTCCAAAATAGGATATATCATCCTTAAATCTAGATGGCTGAAACAACAGAAAGAAAAATATAATGACCAAAGGCCCAAACTTAGAATCTTGTACTTAATGGATGTAATGCCTTGAAAAACTTTACACTCTGGCTGATACAAACTTCTCCTGGGGGACCCACTGAAATTGGAACTTATGTTTTTGGGATTGTCTATTGACAAGCTCAAAAATATTGAGGTTGTGCCTGAGTGAAAGCATGTCTGAAAATACAGAGGAAGCAGAGACAAGCTGAAGCACGGCTGGGTGTCAGTGGAGTGACCTGTCCTTGGCTATGCACTGGCTGTGAGCCCCAGTGCTGCAGGTCAAGGCATTCCCATAGAAACAACATTTTCATAACAACATGGCAAACATGTTCTGACTGTTCTTTTTATCCCCCTTTCACTGTGACACTCCTTTAAACTCTTTTCTTTTTTCTTTGTCCTTTTTTCCTTTTCCTTTTCCTTTTTTCCTTTTCTTATGAGACATAAAACCAACAGTTCTGGAATGAGGTGTGCCAGTCAGCTTGACAACTACTCACAGGGGATTGTTTTATTTCCATCAAATTTCGTGTCAACCAAGGCATGTTGCTGACTAAGAATTTGACTGCACAAACTGAGCTGCTACAATAACTCACTGCTGCTATTGAAATCCTATTGCTCCTCTGTCTTCACTGGTATCAACCCCGAAGTCCTGCTTAATTTCTACACTACTGTTAAAATAAATTCAGAAAGACAGGAGGTAAAAATAACTTGAGATTGCAATAAAGAGCCAGGCAAAGAGCAGAAAAGTTCTGCATTCACTTCTGTCAGTCCTGTGAAACTGAAGGGAGAAGGCAGCAGCCTGCCTGTTTTCATGTTACAATGCTGCACTTTTCTACACTGAGAATAGAGAGGCTCTTCTCATACTCATGACCACCTTAAAAAGAAATTTAAAATATGTATCTATTTTTTTAATTATGAGCACAAAAAATTATTAGACATTTAATATTTATTACACAGGAGAAGAATAAGGACAATGTGTTCACCTGAATCTCACTCTCTACCTTTCCAGATTTACCCTCTCAATGCTATTGAAATATTTACAGGAAATTTGGGGGCCCATGCTTCCATGTCAAAAGTGCATGTAAAAGAAGAGTAGGTATATTTTAGGAAGATAATAAAGCACAAAGTGTACTTGGAAACTCTTAAAATATATAGTTCATCTGTGGGCAACTTCATAGTCACTGACTGAAATAAATTGCTGTTTTGCCTAAAGCTTGTATGATCAGGAAAATAGTGATGGTGTTTTCTAAAATCCTCAGGTGGTGATCCATGAGTTTTAAATATTTGCTATATTTTAAAAATGAGTATTTGATTGTTTTTTATTAAACTACTTTTGCTACAATGCATTGCAATAATACCTACAAATACATATTATTGGACTGCTGACGTGGGTTAGATTACAAGAACATAGAGACATAGGCTGCACATTAGACAGTCTATTTCTATCAAACTGCATGATTGGATGAACTTTTCAGGTGAAATTTGAAAAGTTTAGACTTTTGGAACATATTAAGGAGAAAGGAAGCAGATCTTGAAAGAAAGGAATATATATATGTGGCATTATTTGGGCTTCAGAAATGCAAGTCACAAAAAGTTCATATAGATTTAATTGAAAGATCTTTCAAGTTATTTGTGCTATTGTTTTTTTTAGTCATCTGAGTTTCTGATAACCAGTTTTTCAATAGAAATCTCCCATATGTGTTGGCAATTTTTCATAATGAGGGCGGCAAAGTGATTTTGTTTCAAGTTTGAAATTCTTTAAATTGATGGGAGTGCAACCTGAATTTAAAATAATAGAACCTGCATTTATAAAAAGCATGTCATTCATAAAAAGGGTTTCATAAAAGACTTCTCTTAAAGTATTCTTCTTTTTCTGTAGAATATTTTATCTTGAATTTTGGGAGATGCTTATAGATTTTAAGATACTTTTATTTTCTTTCTCCTATTTATGTTGAATACTTCTTATATAGGATAAAATTCTACTGAATCAGGAAGCTGATATCAGATAGGCAAATAGGTACTACTCCACAGAAGTGATAGAATCTGTTCCAATTGATTTTTAGCCCTATCAAGCTATACCTTTTCTTATCTATATGAAAAATTTGAGGTTCCAGAGTCCTATTATTTCTTGAAAGCAAATAATAATAATACAATTTCCACTCCTATTCTTAAGCAGATCCTTTACTCAGATACACACCACCATAACTTCAATTGGCATCAGTAGCAGCTGTGCATATGTAACTTGGGCAAAGCTTAGCCCTTAATCAAAATCACTCCCTGATTATTCAGTTTATATTTCAGATGAGCCATTCAGTGATCTCTATTCCTTCAGTAGTGTATCATAAATTGTAAACCTCCAGTAACTTTGTTGTGTATTAATCCATTGCATTGTCAAATTAATTAATATGTATTTATATTATTCTGAAAAGAATCCATACTATGTTCTAGGCAAGTCTTGCTATTCTGAATATTTATGAGACAATCCAAGCATCAAGCTCTGTAACCCAATAAATACATTATTGACCTTGCTAATGACAGATTTCAGGCTTCACAGTACCTCTGCAAATCCTTTGGACTTTTTAGGCTTTGTCAGGACTTCTCTTGGCCTGCTCAGAGCTAAGTTTCTCAATGTTGAGATGTAAAAGCAATATTCTAATGACCTATTTTATAATGGCTATTTCCTAATTTGTTTTACTTTTGCTGAGCATTGTGCAATCAGGTGGTATAATGTTTGTATAGATTCTCTATACATTATTAAGTAATTGTTTGTGTAGAATGAGCTATTTATGGTCATACCATAATGATGCAGAGTAATGGAATGAAAGACTGGTTGTGAATCAGAGCCCCTAAATGTGGGGGAAGATCATGCAGTGTAGAGAGTATAAAGGGATGGGATGATGACAGAAGTGGCACCTGGTGCTATGAGGACCCCCAGGGCTATTAAAAACTCATGAGTGGTCAATTACCTATTGATAGAGAAATATCACCTTCATATCTGTGTAAAAACAGTGTTTTAGAAGTAACAGGAGAACAGAGAGCAAGTATGCAAGATACGAAAGATGTTTGTTTGACATATGGGAAATTAAGATATATTAGGGACAAATAAACCACCATGAAAACCAAACAAAATAAAACCCCAACAAAACAAAACAAAA